CGCCCCATGAATACATGTCGGACCCAGTCTAGGCCCATAAATAATAGAGCGGTGGTTTCTTAATGGCTCAACGCCCTGTCAACTCCACTGTATAGACTAAATACTGGCTCAAAGATACTTTTTAAGGCTGAATCCTAATACTGTACCACGTCCCAGGCGTAAGTATCACCCCTCGAGGGTAGGGTAACCAGGGGGTTTAAAGTGGAAATTATAATTTTGAGGCACCCTCGAGGAATAATACTTGGTTAGGCCTGTACCGTGGTATTCATGGGGGGGGGGGGAGTAGAGTTGATTTTGATGTTTTCGCTGAAGTGGCCAACAGCAGTTGTTTCGTACTGCAAGTAGTGCCGCCCTGGGACTGACGACGTGCTAAGCCAAGGAGCTGTATACAAGACAGCTTTAAAAAGCAGATCAAGGTGTTATAGGAAAGGCTGTTATCAATTGCGCCCTTTCCTTATAAATAAATTGGATTGTAATAAAAAAAAGAACCCTCGTTTAAAAAAAAGAAAAAAAAAAGACTGAAGGAGCAAAGCAGAATATGCCGCCGCATGCTTGAAACCTTAGCGATTGCGAATCGCAGAACGATAAGAGTCGAGACTGGACCGAAATGTCAGTCCGAAAACCGAAGAGATAAAAACAAAAACATTACATAAGCGAGTAAACAAAGTCTCAACCGAAACGCTAAATATCGTACACATCTATCTTATACCACTTCCAAACTTCCTTTCGTGTGAGCACCACACTCACTCGATAGTAGGGCGCCCAGGTGGAAGGGAGCCAGTGTTAAGACCCGCAGTCCGTGTACAGCAGAGCGTGTAGAAGTGGGGGTAGTAGCTAGAATAAATAATGAATGCAAATAATAACGTGTGTAATATGACATTATTTAGTCTTGACGGCGGGATTCGGGTCGGCATAATAAAGCGCGGTATATGTATATTGTTGGATCGCTGGTAGCGATCTATCATAAATATTCGTGACATCGTCAAAGTACTTGCAATTGCAAAACACTCGGTTTGAAAGGTATCTGAATTCTGTATGCTCCCCAGAATTCAGGGGAGCTAACTCCTTCTATACGATTAGAAGGAGTCATGTGCACTAGCTAAGTAGTAGGTTTTACAGTCAAGTTGGGGGTTCCTTGAACCGCGTGACCTAAGCGAGGCACCCGTGAACTATGGTTGACGAGTGGAGTTGGCCACATCACCCCCAACTACTACTGACTAACTTAAGTCGATATGAATATACCAACATATATATGAATATACCAACATATATCGAGTGCTGGCCCCCTATAGCAGATAATATTAAATAATGGTCATCCTAGCATAAAAGATACAAAGAACCTTACCACTTGCTGCAAAAAAAGTACGCTCTAATGTGCATGCATTGCCGACTTTAGTAACGCTACGGATTGGAACTCGGCTTATAGCAAGGCTTAGACTAAGACTCAAGAGAGAGAGCATTAGCACACGGTGCGGATCTCCGCTCCGAGCTAGCAGCGAGAATGAATCTCGGCAGAGCACCAGATGAAAAGTATTAAAGGCATTCCTTTGATTTCTTAATGCATCTAGTACTCATGCATCCAGTACTTATGCTTACTATCGGGTCTCGGCTTTATAATCTTGAAAGCTACGTTTGTGCTTTAATAAAGATCGCGCGCTCTCGTATCTTCCATTATTGATCAAGCCATAATGGCCTATCGTATTCCGATACTAGCGGTTTTTTACTTGTAGTAAGGAACTCTGTATTCTGTTCTATATAACCTCTATCCAGATTTCTCGTTCCGAATGCTCCCGAAATTATTGGACTGTTTCTTCTTTGCTTTATTTATCCTTCGTTACGAGGTTTGTAATGTAAGGTGTAGTCTCGTAGTAACCCTTTGGCAAGTTCCGAGCTTTCTTAACGGAGTTGATTGGCGTGATTTTTAGAGGTGACGGAAGTGGTCAGGTGGGTGTTTCGAAGGTGGTATGAAAGGTGGAGGATGTTGCGCAGTTGGCGTGAGAAGTAGGAAAAGTAGCTGCGGAAGTGACCAAAGGAGAAGGTGCTTCGAAATTGGCGTGAGGCGTAGGAAGTACTTCGAATGTACCTTGGTCAAAACAAATAATTCTTCCAATGGCTGATCCGATCTTTGGTCTAATTGCTGGTCCTCTAATGTATCGCTTCCATCTGTTGGTCCTCCACTTGCTGATCTTTTAATTGTTGCTCCTTCACTTGCTGATCTTCTATTTGTTGGCCGATTAGAGTAGCTGGCTGGGTGATTAGCTATATAATGGAGCCTAAAGGGGTGTTGTAGTATACCTGGAGTCGATCCATATCTTCAAGTGAAATGAGAAAAGGGTTTTCTACACTTACAATATGGAATTCGATGATTCCAAAGAGTGTATCGACCACTATTAAGCCAGGCACTCTAGTAGTTTTGCCTTCGAATTTAATGGTATCCTTATCGGCGGTTCCACGATTAATTCGTAAGTGGGAAATGATGTTTCGTAAAGCCTCAACTGGGTGGTCTCCTGTTATAGAGAGGTTGGCTGCTCCTGAGTGAGCGAATAAGGCTTTTGGCTGACAACTATGTGGTCATGAATAAGCTTTGAATGAAGCTTCTTAAGGGAACTTCAGTAGGCTAAGTAGGCCAATTTGTTCTGTGAGCTATTGAAGGAGGAAACACCAGCGCCATGGACCCCCGAGTACAAGGCGAAGAGTTTGGCTATCAGAAAACAGCTTGAGGAAGGAGATGGATCGATACCCGCTATACCCGCTGAACCTGCCCTTACTGCACCTACCGGCCCGAAACCTCTTATTACAGGGGCAAACAACAACCCAATTAACGAGTCAATACTATCAACAGCTATGTTACCAACACTGATGATGCGCCCAAGTATGTTCCTGGTATTCTCTATACATTATCCCTACCCCCTCAAAGCAATGCGAGCGGCTGTATCCCTAACATCCTTTTTGTCCTATCCCTTCTCCGATTGCAATCCGTCCAGCTATATCCTTCGTGTCCTTAAAGTAATGCGCCCAAGTGTGTTCTTGATTTTCTCCATATATTGTCCTTACCCCTTGAAGGCAGTGCGAGCGGCTATATCTTTGATATCCTTTTTATGCTGTCCCCCCTCCGATTGCAACCCGTCCAGCTGTATTCCTCATGTCTTTGGTGATGCGCCTAAGTGTGTTCCTGATGTTCTTTATATATTGTCCTTGCCCTTTGAAAGCAGTGCGAGCGGCTGTATCCCTGATATCCTCTTTTTGCTGTCCCTCCCCCCTCCCCGCCCCCCCTTATTGCAATCCATCCAGCTGTATTCCTCGTGTCCTTGCTGATGCGCCCAAGTGTGTTCCTGATGTTCTCTATATATTGTGCTTACCCCCTGAAGGCAGTGCGAGCGATTGTATCCCTGCCATCCTCTCCGTATTGCTTCCCCCTCTAATAGCGAGCGTCCGGCTGTATCGTTGGTGACCTCCTTGATATCTTTAGTAACACCCCCAGCTGTATCCTGATATTCTCTCCGTACTTGCCCACCTCCCCTCTCCCCCCCCACCCCCCCCCCCTCCCCC